CCCAAAGGGGGCTCTGGGTCTGGCCCCACCATTGAGGAGGTGGATTAGGGTCCTTACCTTCTTTGCTCCATGTTTCTTTTCTTTTTCCATGTTTCTTTTCAAATGAGGTGACCTGAGGACCTTGCTATTGCACTGGGTTTTTTTTCTACCTTTAGTGTTCTACTATTTCAGTTCATTCTAAAGTTAGCTTGTAACCTGATAGTATTTGTGTTAAATTTCTTTGTGGTATACCAGTTTGTTAGAATTTTTGCATTTAAAGTAATTGGTACTGTGTTGTTTTTTTTCCCCCTTCTCTGTAAAATGAGTAAACACTGCCACCCTCTGTCCAATTTTGCTATGTAAACCCCGGAAGTAATGGAATGTTGTTGGTTGGTTTGGTTTTTTATAATTTGTATACTTCATGATGAAAAATAAAATGTTAAAAATTAGGCTATTTTTATTTGAGGGGGGTAATGGACTCTTCTTGGAATGTCTGAATTCCATAGACCGGTGAAAGGGACAGTACTTCTGAAGAGACATGCACTGTGAGGAGCCATGACTTTGGCTGTTTATGTTGGGACTTAATTGTAGGTTGTAAATGACGTCTGTGCTAGAAAATAAAATTCCAGGTGCCCATTTTTGTGGATGCACCTTTTTTCTTTTTTTTTCTCTTTAAGATTTTACTGATTTATTTGACAAAGAGAGACACAATGAGAGCAGGAACCCAAGCAGGGGGAGTGGGAGAGGGAGAAGCAGGCTTCCCGCGAAGCAGGGAACCTGATGCGGGGCTTGATCCCACGACCCTGGGATCGTGACCTGAGCCGAAGGCAGGCGCTTAACGACTGAGCCACCCAGGCGCCCCGGGTGCACCTTTTTTTTTAGGGGAAAAGTAGGAACGGGAGCTGCAAAAAATTGTTTGGGGGAGAAGTTATTGTGGGTTCAAAGGCAGCATTGAGAGAGGTTCATGGTTCCTTATTCTCTCGCTCTTAATGTGTGCAGAGCCATTAATTTGTCCCTTCTGAGTTTTGGGTCTTCTAGTCTTTAGGTTATGAATGATATTGGGGGTGTGTAAAGCAGCAAAAAAGGAAATGCAAAGTCACAGTGTAGCTCTGTAAATCCCAGCTAGGCGACCAAGTGCAAATTACTTAGCCTTAGTTTTGGTTGTCTCACTTTAAAGCAATTTGTCTGAATGACCTCACTTTTAAAGTTCTACATCATTTTGAGCAGAAACGTGGCATAGACAAGCAACATCTTCAGCCATGGTCACCCTGGCTACAGTTATCCAAGCAGGGGCATGGGGGAGGGAGAGTCTGAGGGTTTGGGGGGCATGACAATGAAGCAGGTTCTTTGCTTCACCCCAGTAATCTTTTTTTTATTATTGTTAATCACCATACATTACATCATTAGTTTTTGATGTAGTGTTCCATGATTCATAATTTGCATATAACACCCAGTGCTCCATGCAGAACGTGCCCTCTTTAATACCCATCATCAGGCTAACCATCCTCCCACCCCCCTCCCCTCTAGAACCCTCAGTTTGTTTTTCAGAGTCCATCGTCTCTCATGGTTCATCTCCCCCTCCGATTTCCTCCCCTTCATTCCTCCCCTCCTGCTATCTTCTTTTTTTTTCTAACATATAATGTATTATTTGTTTCAGAGGTACAGATCTGTGAGTCAACAGTCTTGCACAATTCACAGTGCTCACATAACACATACCCTCCCCAATGTCTATCACCCAGCTGCCCCATCCCTCCCACCCGCCACCACTCCAGCAACCCTCAGTTTGTTTCCTGAGATTAAGAATTCCTCATATCAGTGAGGTCAGATGATACATGTCTTTCTCTGATTGACTTATTTTGTTCAACATAGCACTCTCCAGTTCTATCCACGTCATTGCAAATGGCAAGATTTCATTCCTTTTGATGGCTGCATAATATTCTGTTGTATATATATACCACATCTTCCTTATCCATTCATCTGTCGGTGGACATCTTGGCTCTTTCCACAGTTTGGCTATTGTGGACATTGCTGCTATAAACATCGGGGTGCATGTACCCCTTCGGATCCCTACATTTGTATCTTTGCTTCATCCCAGTAATCTTAAGTAATTCTCATCTCCCCTCCTTCTAATTAGGTATTTTAAGTTGTTTTTTTTTTTTCATAGATTAGCATGTGGAAGTGGTCACTTCAACTACATCCAGGGCAGAATCAGCAACAAATACTGTTTTTTTCCACACTGCCTGAACATGTTGACATTGGGTTCCTGTCCGGTTCTGAGTGACGGTTTTACCCCAGTTCTAACGATCAGTAACCTCCTTTACCTTTTAGGTACAGTCTCAAAACCATAGGAACTTAAAGTAACATCAAATTTAATTATGAAGGAGGAGCTGAAAGGAGTGGAGCATAGAGCTGGGAAGATCAAGGAAATGGGCTTTCCTCCATACAAGCCCTTCTAGGGGGTTCTTCCTGCCCTAGCAGTTAGATTAAAGGTCCTTAACATTTTCCTTAGCCTGAGAGAATCCCAACCTCCTGCCTCCCCAGAACTGAGGCTGGAAAGAACTACTCCAAAATAAAAACAAAGTTCAAGTTCTGCGTTTCAATAAATCTTCACCCTCTGGGAAAAATCCAATGTTTTAGGAATGACAAAGTAGAGGAAGCCCTCCTTGAAAGCTTGCAAAGGAAAAGGAATATAGTAAGGTCTTTTGGTTCCCGGACCAATTCTCAAAGGCCTGTTTTACTCACAAAATAAGTGAACTATATAATACGACAGCCTCCTACCATAGGATATAGTAAGTGCACTTTTTTTTAAAGATATTTATTTATTTATTTATTTGACAGAGAGAACACAAGTAGGCAGAGAGAGTGTCAGGCAGAGGGAAAGGGAGAAGCAGGCTCTCTGCTGAGCAGGGAGCCTGATGCGGGGCTTGATCCCAGGACCCTGGGATCATGACCTGAGGTGAAGGCAGCCGCTTAACCAACTGAGCCACCCAGGTGCCCCAGTAAGTGCACTTTAACTGCTGCAGCAACTGAATTGCCAGCTTTCTTACCTTCCCCCTCCCCCACCCTGCCAGGTAGTAGAGGGAATAAATAGCTGCATGGTACTGGAGACATGTTTCTCCAACCTGGTGGTGTATTAAAATCACTGGGGGAGGCTAAAAAGGTACCCACTGCCAGGCCTCCACTAGGAGTCAGAATCTTTGGGAGTGGGCTAAGGCATTGTAGAGAATTCAAGCTGCCTGAGTGTTTCCAACGTGCAGGCAGCATTGAGAAAACTGATTGCATCAGAAGGTGCTCCTGATCACGTTTTTAGAGGACAGGGGATATGGGAGAGGGAGGAAGCTGTCAGTGCCTGGAGGAGCAGCGGTTAGTGGGAAGGGGCTTTCTGCTCTGAATGGGAACCTGAAGGCTTGAAAGACCTAGGAGTGTTGATTAATGCAGCAGCAGTGATAGAGGTTAGGGAAATCTCCCAGGACAGCTTAATGGGTGAAAAAAGAGAATCCCTGAGGCTGGGAAGTGGTTCTTTAGGGAGCAACATCAGAATATGAGAATTCAGGGGCACCTGAAGAGCATGCAACTCTTGATCTCAGGGTCCTGAGTTTGAGCCACATGTTGGGTGTAGAGAGTTAAAAACAAACAAAAAGCACCACCAGATGTTTGGGGGGAAAAAAACCCCTCCAAATGTTAAAAAAAAATTAAAAAAGAATATGAGAATTCATAGGCTCCCTGCATATACACACATATTGGAACTTAAAGCAACGTTACTTTGCAACATCAACTATGGATGGGATTCAGCCCCTGGGAGCTGAGAAATGTATCAAATGAACAAGTGAATACTATAGGATTCTTGGAAGAGATTTTTTGTTTTTATTCTTTATTTTTATTTATTTTTGTTCTTAAACTCTACATACAACTTGGGGCTCAGACTCACCACCCCAAGATCAAGAGTTGCGCGCTGTACCAACTGAGCCAGCCAGGCACACCTTGGGAGAGATTTTTTGTTGGAAGTCTGCAATTGTGGGGCAAGGGAGGTCAGATGAAAGATGATTGCAGAAGTAAAAGGATATATTTCTATACCCACAATGGCCTTCTTCCAAATTTTAATCTGTGTTCACTGTGCCTAAATTATGTGACTTAAAACTGATTTTGGGGGCACCTGGCTGGTTCAGTTAATAGAGCATGCGACTCTTGATCTCGGGGTCATGAGTTTGAGCCCCATGTTGGGTGTAGGGACTACTAAGGAAAAAAAAAACTGATTTCCTATGATCTGGAACCCCCAACTCATCCCTTCACGTAAGTGGCTTTCTCACAAAAGATGAAGATGCCAGCATACATCACCAAACATAACTGCATTTATAAATGAGGAGGTATAGAAGGGTCCAGGAAGGTGGGATTTGGGATAATTTATGAGTTGATGGATTAAGTGGCCAAGAGCAAATGACCAGATTTCTGGGGCAGCAAAAATTAGCAAAGGGAGAACAGGGCCTGGATGTTGCCACACCACCATAATTTGTTTTGCTTCCAACCCCCCTGAGATATAGGGTGCTATTTAGAGTGTACTGAACACAGGTCACTGTTTCTGGCCAACTCCCAGGCCATGCACTGCTCATAAAGAGGACATGAGGGCGCCTGGGTGGCTCAGTCGGTTAAGCAACTGCCTTCCGCTCAGGTCATGATCCTGGAGTCCTGGGATCGAGTCCCGCGTCAGGCTCCCTGCTCAGCGA